TCACCATCATGGTTGTCATTGACTTTGTAAGATTTTGATGTTGACATGGATTTTTTTCCTTGATGTCTTCCACCCTGAGAAAACAATTTATTTGAAGAGATAGCTTATGTCTTCGTGTCAGTGGTGGTGTACCATTCTGCACATCAGTATTTTAGTAGATTGAAAAAAACTAAGTAAATGGTTGACTTTGTATCTTTTTCTTTTGTTTCCAGAGCTTAATTGGACTTAGACCTTCAAAAACAAATTTAAGGAGACGGGTAAGATATTCAAATTCTAAATTCATTTCCCCCAAACATGGCAGTGGATGCATTTTCCCCCTCGACTGCTACACTGGAGATGCCGTTGAGATGTGGTTGGGAGAACTGTACTGTAATATGCTTTTAATGCACAAATGCCATCATGCTGAACAAATCTTATTTGGCAGTAAACACCATTACTTTAAATGGAATTCATGCTAACAGGCTTACAAGTAACAATGCATGTTTACAATGTGACCCTTGGGCTGCAATATTTTACATGTTTACTAGGGAGTAAGAGGCACACTATGCGGTTCATATCCATTATGGGCAGTCCTAAATAGGTTTAATCTGGTATGTGGTTTCTGTGTAGTTCTTTCCACCCTGCTGTGTTTTTAAAACTTTCCTTTAAACAAAAGCAAATCTAAGGACTCAAACTATGATGGGCATGATCCTCTGGTTCTGCAGGTCAACCCACTCAGAGGCAGCAGCCAGAGGAGGTGGGGCCGGGAAGCCATTGCTAATGGACTGTTATCGTTCTGTAGCAATAGTTCCTAACCTTGGGTAACCCAAGTGTTGTGGGACTGCAACTTCCAGAAGCCTTCTCCACTTGATGTGCTGGCCAGGATTTCTGGGAGTTGTAGTCCAGGAACACCTGGGTAACCCAAGGTTAGGAAGCACTATAAGTGTCCTCCCCCCCAACTGTCGGCCATATTGTCCTCTGCAGGTCAACCCACTCAGAGGCAGCAGCCAGAGGAGGTGGGGCCGGGAAGCCATTGCTAATGGACTGTTATCGTTCTGTAGCAATAGTTCCTAACCTTGGGTAACCCAAGTGTTGTGGGACTGCAACTTCCAGAAGCCTTCTCCACTTGATGTGCTGGCCAGGATTTCTGGGAGTTGTAGTCCAGGAACACCTGGGTAACCCAAGGTTAGGAACCACTATAAGTGTTCTCCCCCCTCAACTGTCGGCCATATTGTCTCCTACTTGTGACATGTCATGATAACGTGTAGGCGTGAACAAGTAACCTGATGCGCTAGTTCAATAAGTTTCTATCCTTGTGTGAAAAGAAATGCTCAGATAATAAGTCTGTGCTCACAGTCCCCAGGGATCCTGTACTCTTGCGCTGGTGTGACTCTTTCATGATTTATTGTAGAGGGTTACAGGAGAAGAGAGATTCATCAGACTCCCCAGCTTCTTTGAAATGAAAATCCTAGAGACAGGATGGGTGGGCAGAGGGGATTAAACCCTCATTTCTCTTTCCTTACAGCCAGTTGCCCTAACAGAAAGAGAGGGGAAGTGAATGTCCCAGATATTCTGAGAACCCCTATCACAGCAGCATATGGATTTACATGTTAATTGGTGCTTCTGTTGGAGTTTACATGAGCTGATTTGGACAACCATTTTTTTTAGCTAAAAAGCAGGATTATAGTGCAATAATAAAAAAGAGAGAGAGAGAAACTACAGTGTAGGTCCTGAAGACTACCTCAAGGCCATTCTCAAAGAATCCCTCCCTCCCAGAAGTTGTACTCGGGCATTGGACCAGCCATTCTGCTATGGCTGACCTATATTTCCCTGGTGGAACTGCTCATCCATATAAGCAAGGGTGCATTCATTGGAGTTTGGGGGTGGGAAACTGCAAGGCAAGGCAAGGCAGGACTTGGGAGGATGGTCGTTTGGGATGCTGTCTTGTTGCTTATGGCTTCCCATCATACAGTGGGGCTTCTTCAGTGCTAAGATTCTTCCTCTCCAGACAGCTCAGGTACCCAGGAGGTAGTAACCTGGTTCCTTCATTTCTCTTGCTGCCACAGTCCATGGCAAGATCCAGCCCATCAGTGTATCAGGTGGTGAAATTTCAGATCTCTGGCTGGTTCATCAGATAAGATTGTGGGGACTGTGGGGTGAAAACCTAGGACTAGGAATCTTAAGACTGTGCGTTAAGAGAGCAAAACACCTTCTCCATGAACTCTGTGACCCATTTCAAGTTGATCTGTTAAACAAGACTCCCATGACTCTTAAAGATCTCCTTGAAAAGACTCAAATAACTCTCTCACGGTGTGTTACATAGCCCCTGGCACATGTCCAACAAAGAAGCAACAGGAACAGGAATGTCCAAACAGTATAATTCTGAAGGATTCTGAAGGAACTGCAATTTTAGGATGCAACGCCCCTCCCAAAAAATCATACTTCATTCCAATTTTAAATAATCAGATGTGACCAACATAACGCTTTTTTCCCTTTAGGATTTATCGGTGTTCGATATCTCTGCACGTCACTTTGCAAAAATACAAAGCACTATCCGAACATAGCAAAAGGTGCAAAACCATGCAAACTGGCATTACTGTCTGCTCCCCGAAAGTCTTTTCCTTTAGTCTTTGGTGGGAGGTCTGCATGGAGGCTGGCTGGCTTCTTTGAGCCCAGGCAGAACTGTGAAGAGAGCAACTCCCGTGATCAATATTCCATTCAACCTTTCTGGGTGCAGTCATGCATAGGAAAATCCAATTAGGCCCTGGGTTTTACATCGGCTGCATCCAGACAAGGCGTAGGTCTAACTGCTGCTGACTAGGAAAAGCAGATTGTAAAGACTGGGGGATTTATTTGAAATTCAGCTCAGGACAGCCTTTGAGAGCAAAGAGAAGAAGGTGCCCCAAAGCCCTGAACTCATTTCAGTTGACAACTTTGTTCCACACATCAGTCATGATGAGGAATTTATATTTCCCTCATTGGTTTTTTTTTTTTTAAAAAGATCTTATTAAAGGAAAATAACAAACAACAAACCTAAATAAAATACCTATTCAGTAAAAACTATACACAATACAAATTAAAACTTCCTCATCTGTGCCATCTTCACCCTCAGGACTAGGTAACCAACAATATTATTTTACAAGTTTTCACCCCATTCCACTCAAAAATACATTGATTCTTTTGTTTGCTTATAACCTTTCCCCTTCAGAAAGACATAGTGTAAGTATAAATTCCATACATCTTTAAAATCATTAGCCGTTACCATTCCTCTTCTTATTTTCATTTCACATGTTAACTTATCGTGAATTGCTAAATTCCACATTTCTTTATACGTATGTTCGAGATTAATTTGTCACTTTTCCAATTCTTGGCTAATATTAATCTTGACAGTAACCATTATAACAGCTAACTCCTTCTGATCTTTTTCTAGATGGCAATTCTTAATTATATTCAGGAGGGCAATAATTGGTGATATCTGAATATCGTATCCAATATGTTTTCTGATTTCCTTAAAAACCAATGACCATTCTTTCCTTCTTATTTCACACTTCCACCACATGTGCATAGAGGTCCCCTTTTCCTTTTTTGCATCCCCAGCCTTGAGATGGTATGTTTTTATTTATTATATTCAATTTTGCTGGAGTAGTTTCCCTCCTTTGCTTGTTGCCTTCTTGCCACCCGTCCAGTCCAGACCTTCCAGGCATGGCACCTTCATTGAAACAGATCAGGGCATTGTGCAGGGCACCCATGTGTGTGTGTGTGTGTGTGTGTGTGTGTGTGTGAGAGAGAGAGAGAGAGAGAGAGAGAGAGAGAGATTGAGAGAGAGAGCCTGAGTGTTGGCAAAGGCCAGCCCACATCAGCCAGAGGAGTGCCAAGAGCCCAGAGCAGAGGTAACGGCAAGCCAGCGCAAGGGTTATGTTGCAGCCTTCTCACAGCAAGGCATTGCGCAGACTCAGCACATAACAGCCCTCAGAAAGAACAAGCAAAGCGAGGGAATAAGCAAGATTCATTTGCTGGAAGGAGCGGATATTTCAGGATCAAGATAAGGAAGATGACAGCATCACCCAAAGTATCCGGGCAGTATCTGCTTCTGCCCTGCCTCCCAGCCGCAGAGGGGAGCATGGCTCCTGACTTGAATCCTGTAACATTGGGACTCGTGTCAGAAGATCTGAAATAGGAGGAAAAGCAAGAGAGAAACTTGAGTTTAATTTGGCATCATCTCGCCTGGGTTTGGTGGCTCCACAGCACGAAAGCTTGCCCCAACCAAAACTTGCTAGTCCTGAATGTGCCCCAAGACCCATTGCTGTTCTTGCTGCCATTGACTAACGCGACTAGACACCTTTGAAATTTTTGACAATAGAAGCTCTGCCATGAGCGTGGAGGATCCTGGCCACTTGGACACTAGGGTGGATGAAGCGTGCAAGCCGCTTTCCCAGTGTGTTGTCCAAACACCAGCACTAGGCAGAAACGGGGCTTCTGCTGTGCTTGACATTGGGGGAGAATTCAGTTGCTTTCAGGAGACGCCCCCTAAGATGGAATACTCTTACCAGGGAAAGCACACTGTCGTGAATGCATGTGTGTACCACATCTGTGTCGAGTATTTACATTCCCGCAAGGGGAGAGTGAAATGCAGTGCGTTTGAACACTGCTCCTGAGGTGTCACTCTTACGAAAGCTTGTGCTGCCTCTTACCCACAAAGTGAATTACAGAGTTTAATTTGGCATCATCTCGCCTGGGTTTGGTGGCTCCACAGCACGAAAGCTTGCCCCAACCAAAACTTGCTAGTCCTGAATGTGCCCCAAGACCCATTGCTGTTCTTGCTGCCATTGACTAACGCGACTAGACACCTTTGAAATTTTTGACAATAGAAGCTCTGCCATGAGCGTGGAGGATCCTGGCCACTTGGACACTAGGGTGGATGAAGCGTGCAAGCCGCTTTCCCAGTGTGTTGTCCAAACACCAGCACTAGGCAGAAACGGGGCTTCTGCTGTGCTTGACATTGGGGGAGAATTCAGTTGCTTTCAGGAGACGCCCCCTAAGATGGAATACTCTTACCGGGGAAAGCACACTCTCATGAATGCGTGTGTGTACCACATCTGTGTCGAGTATTTACATTCCCGCAAAGGGAGAGTGAAATGTGGTGAGTTTGAACACTGCTTCTGAGGTGTCACTCTTACGAAAGCGTGTGCTGCCTCTTACCCACAAAGTGAATGAAGTGTTTTTTCCTCCCCCTGCACTGGGGTTCTTGCTAGCGTTGCCAGAACTGGATTAACATCTCTACTGTATGCCAAATGGGTTGCAGCCTCTTTCTTCATATTTAAAACGTTTCATACAAGTGACACCCTGAAATGGCTTGCTTTTCTGAGCCGTTGGTCATCCATGGCGTCTGCCCTGAATGATGTCTAGTTTAGGAATTGGGCGGAAAATCATCAAGAGGAGTAGAAAGTGTTCCTCCTCAAATCCGAGTCAACATGGCCTTGGTGCAGTTGCAGGATCCAAACAAGGGTAGCTCTGTAACCTGTCCTGTTGGGGTCTCCAGCCCAGATGTGCAGGTGCCTGTCCAGCTGCCAAGGGCTTTTGAATGGGCACGGCCTCCACCAGGTTGGGTCAGGGGGGGTATTGGTGTGAGAGTCAGGGATGCAGTTGCAGGATCCAAACAAGGGTAGCTCTGTAACCTGTCCTGTTGGGCTCTCCAGCCCCTGGCCTTGTTTGCTGCACTTTCCAGGTGTGCAGGTACCTGTCCAACTGCCAGGGGCTTTTGAATGGGCACTGCCTCCACCAGGTTGGGTCAAGGGTGGTATTGGTGTGAGAGTCAGGGATGCCTCAGTGATCTCCCCTGGTGATCTCCTCTGGAATGAGCTGGTCCAAGAGTCCCCCACCCAAGCTGGGCTTCCAGGCACTTGTTCCCAAGCCTGAGCAGTCAGGGATTTAGCCAAAATATATGGGCAAAACTGGGACACCGGGGCCCCTCAACTGTGCTGGGACACCGCACCACTCTTCTCCACCATCTCCTCCTGTTGCCGCTCATCTCCCCCCCGGGCTTCCTCCTTCCCCTCCTTTGTACTCCTAGCTGCGCCAGTTGCAGCCATTTCTCTCCTTGGCCCTCCCTGGGTGTCACCCTTTCAATTTCCACTGCCTCCCCTTGGACTTTTCACCAGTGGCAGGCATGCAGGTGGGTGTCAAGAGACTTCTCCCACTCCGCTGGATCCCAAAGAGGCTGCAGAGGCTGCTTTGGCTGGCCCTTGCTTTGGGCCATTGCCCACTCCTTCACAAACTTGTTAAAAGAGGATGAGGTACTAAGCTAGGTCATCCTACTGAAGGGGCCCCAGAGCTGTATGAAATAAATAAATAAAATATAGTAAGGTAGCTTATTTAAGTTCAGAGGTCCTGAACTGGACTTTCCTTACGGCTGTGTACAGGAGTGGCTCAGGTTTGTTGCACGGTGCATCAGATGACGTGGGCTGCTTAAACTTGCTCTCCTTTGGCAGGAGTACCACTGACGCAGATGGTATGTGCTCCTTTCTTTTTGCCCTGGGATGGTGGAGTTGCTGCCCCCTAAGGCTCATGCTTTGGCTGTGTTTTCTGTTATTCTTTTAGGATGAAGAAGGTGGTGTTGATGTGGGAGAAGGGGCTGATGAATGGACACAGGCCAAGACTCTCATCAAGCCCGCAGACCAGCTGGAGTTGACCGATGCCGTGAGTAAATTGGGACTGCAATCATATTGGGGTCGGGTTCCCACAGAGGCCATGACCCCGCAAGAGACTAGGAGAGTACAGGTATCATGTTGGTGTGGACCGGAGAGCCCTGAGTTCCAATCTTCCGTAGACTCCAAACTCTGCTAGTTAAGTTTGGCCAAGTCATGATTTCTGGTCTCGTGAACCCTTTGGATGAAACATGGGATAAATCTAAGGCAATACATTGAGAAATAGAGCCGGTGCCGTTCAGCCAATTGGATCGCCCAGCTGCCAAAAGACGGGTGGGCATTTCAGATGCCTCCTCGTTGCCTCCTGGGATCAGAGTCAGCCAAGGATCCCTGGCGCATGGAGCCGGTGTGCCTGATGGGATTGCCTGCCCACCCACCCACGGACCCTTGGTCAAGCTGCCCAGTCCCAGAGCAGCACCAGAAGAAGAAACTGGGAAACTGCTTCTGAATACTTTGTCCCTGGAAAATCCCGGCAGGGTGACCCTAAGTCCGAATTGACTGGATGGCACAAAATTAGTGTTGGCTTATTAAAATGAGAGCATTTTAACCCACCACCCGCAATACTCAGCGGTTCCCAGCAACGCTTGCACACCAGCAGGCATATTTTCCATGCCTTACCCATTTCAGCAACCCACCCATACCAGCATCGCTGTTTCGATGTCCGCAAAGCCAAGGAGGCTGAGAAGCGGTCATGGCTGCTGGAAGCAAAGGGGCCTTGGACGATTCTACAGGGTCCGCTTTGGCAGGATTCCTTTAGGGTCTCATGGCTTCCCTTGCTCCCTGCCAGCCCTGTGCCCTCAGAGTCCTCTAAAGCAGTCGCAGAAGACGCAGGCACGCGGTGAAAACTCCAGCTGAGAAGCGGTCATGGCTGCTGGAAGCAAAGGGGCCTTGGACGATTCTACAGGGTCCGCTTTGGCAGGATTCCTTTAGGGTCTCAACTGCACACCCATGTCTGTTATTTCTTTCGGTATTCCTGCCTCCCTGATTTTAGGCTCTGTTTCAAAAGAGAAGGCCATGGTAAACATCCCAAGACCATCACAATATTTCCTCTGGTGTTCTTGCTCATGGCTGCTGGAAGCAAAGGGGCCTTGGACGATTCTACAGGGTCCGCTTTGGCAGGATTCCTTTAGGGTCTCAACTGCACACCCATGTCTGTTATTTCTTTCGGTATTCCTGCCTCCCTGATTTTAGGCTCTGTTTCAAAAGAGAAGGCCATGGTAAACATCCCAAGACCATCACAATATTTCCTCTGGTGTTCTTGCTATGCAGAGAAAGCTATTTTGCCACATAACTGTACCCAATATAGGAACCGTAGCACTAAGAATAGACACCTCTTTATGTGCTACCTTTATGTTCTTTTTCTTTCTTTGGAAGTGTGCACTTGTGTGTGTAAAGTGTCAATGCAACAGGCGCGTATGGATAAGTGAAAATGGAATGGCTGCGGCTCCTGACCCTGGTCCATCTGCCTTGCAAAACATGAAAGGACCCAGAGTATCTCGGAACTCTCACGGTTTCTACCAAAGTGGCTATTTTTGCTCCACCCATGAACGTGCTTTGTGAGAGGGGCAGAGAGTGGTCCTCAGAGCTTGGCCATTATTTGGCGGTGGCTGTACAGGTCTGATACGAGCAGCCTAAGCAACTGGACATCGTGAATTGACAAGCTTTCCTAATATTGTATCTTATTTGGTTCCTTAGAAGTTTCACCATTTGTGGGAGCCACAAATCAATTGGGCTTCCTCTATTAAGCAAGGAGAGACGGTCGTCCCAGGATGTAAAATGGGTATCAATACTTTATTCAAAGATAAGCCCAATGTGTTTTGGCTATTGCTCTTTTAGCCTTCTTCATGATGTAAAATGGGTATCAATACTTTATTCAAAGATGAGCCCAATGTGTTTTGGCTATTGGACTTTTAGCCTTCTTCATGGGCTTTTTGTTGTTGTTTAGTCGTTAAGTCGTGTCGGACTCTTCGTGACCCCATGGACCAGAGCACTCCAGGCCCTCCTGTCTTCCACTGCCTCCTGGAGTTGGGTCAAAGTCATGTTGGTTGCTTTGATGACCCTGTCCAACCATCTCATCCTCTCGTCCCCTTCTCCTCTTGCCTTCATATGTTCTTCGGGGGCTATAATATAATACATAAAACAGAAAGAGAACATATATGAGCTACTCATTTAACTGGGACGACATATATAATAAATAAAACAGAAAGAGTACATATCTGAGCTACTCATTTGACTGGGACGACATATACGTAAGACATTTTAAAAACCATTTTGTGCCAGCACTAATACATGAATATACTTGTCATAGTTTATATTAAGTATTAAAAGTGATTTACAGGAAGAGTAACAATTATTTATAAGTAAATGTAAGAAGTCAGGTTACATACCGCTGATGTTATGTTTATGTAGAATCTGTCTCTGAGAATAGTTTTGTGGACAATCTCTCACTCCTTTCGGATAAAGGGTGGCAGAAGAAGAAAAGATGGCCCAGCTGTGTACAAGGTTGAACCAGTGTGTTAGCCTTCCTTCAAAAAAGTATCTGGGGGAAATATAGTGGTGCCTCGCTTGACAAGGATAATTCATTCCGTTGAAATCGCTGTTAAGCAAAATCCTCGTCAAGCAAAACAAAAAAGCCCATTGAAATGCATTCAAACCCAGTTCAATGCATTCCAATCGGCTAAATACCTCAGCATCCAGCGAAGATCCTCTATAAGGGCGGCCAATTTCAGTGCCTGTAAAGTGAGGAATCCATCCTAAAGCACAGCGGGGAGCCATTTTGCACAGTGGGCGGCCATTTTAGAGCTGCCGATCAGCTGTTTTAGAATAATCGTCTAGCAAAAAATCGATTCCCGAAGCAGGGGACCTCGTCTAGTGAAAAATCGATTCCCGAAGCAAGGAACCGGTCAACGTCTAGTGAAATTTCCCTATCTAAACATCGTTTTGCGATTGCTAAAACCTCATCGTAAAGCAGATCCGTCGTTTAACAAGGTAATCGTTAAGCAAGGCACCACTGTAATATGAAACTACAGCAAGGGAATCTAGTCTATCTCTTCATTGAAACCAGAAGGAGATAAAGAATTTAACCTTAAAATCCTGTCTGTTTCTTTTTAAAGAAGAGCCTTTTCATGTATTTTGTTTATAAAACCGTTAATACTTAATGTAAACTATGACAAGTACGTATATTAATTCATTAATGCTACCACAAAATGTTTTTTAAAAATGTCTTATATGTTATCCCAGGCAAATAAGTAGCTCACACATGTGCTCTTTCTGTTTTATTTATTATATTATAGCCCCTGAAGAAGGCTAAAAGTGAAATAGCCGAAACGCGTTGGGCTTATCTTTGAATAAAGTATCAATACCCATTTTTGCATTATTATATTATAGCCCCTGAAGAAGGCTAAAAGTGAAATAGCCGAAACGCGTTGGGCTTATCTTTGAATAAAGTATTGGTACCCATTTTTGCATCCTGGGATGACTGTCTCTCCTTGCGTGACACCTTCAGTGGATCTGCCAGTCCTTTTTGTTCTTGCTTCCTGTAGTGCTAACCTTTGAACAGTCAGCACCTACTTCAGCTTTGCATGGTAGAAATTTCCCGCTTTTCCTCCTTGACCTCTCTAAATGTCATGGGGCTTGTGTTTGAGCCAGCTTTCCCTGTCACAGGAACTGAAAGAGGAGATCACCCGGATCCTGACAGCCAATAACCCGCATGCTCCACAGAACATCGTCAGATACAATTTCAAAGTAAGTGCTTTTCTTTGCCCTGGAATCCGTGTGAGATGTGGACCACTAGTTTGCCAAGAAAGGAGGAAAGACGTAATCTGAAATTTTATATTCAGGATGTGAAGTTTGACCTCATGTAGGTTAAGCTTGTTGGCATCTCTTGACTGTGTTGATCTTGACACATTATCAAAGGCAGAATATAAACTGTCCAATGCAGTTATCCATCAATTACACTAAAACAACTGCCTAAGATATGTTCAGATTGAAAGGAAATCAAAATAGAATCGTAAAGATGTACATACAGTAGTCAGTTCTCTGGATTTCTCTGCCGGTAGAGGTTAAGTGTTTTCTTTGCCCTGGAATCCGTGTGAGATGTGGACCACTAGTTTGCCAAGAAAGGAGGAAAGACGTAATCTGAAATTTTATATTCAGGATGTGAAGTTTGACCTCATGTAGGTTAAGCTTGTTGGCATCTCTTGACTGTGTTGGTCTTGACACATTATCAAATGCAGAATATAAACCGTCCAATGTAAAACGCAATTGTGTGTTATCCGTCAATGACACTAAAACAACTGGCTAAGATATGTTCAGATTGAAAGGAAATCAAAATAGAATCATAAAGATGTCCAGAGTCAGTTCTCTGGATCTCTCTGCCGGTAGAGGTTAAGTGGGTGGTGACTTGTGGGAGACACTTTGTGACATCCCCTTCCCGGATAGGAGTTTCTCACTGGCCATGTGACCACGGAAGATTGTCTTCAGACAAATGCTGGCTCTATGGCTTGGAAACGGGGATGAGCACTGCCCCCTAGAGTCGAACACGACTGGACAAAAATTGTCAAGGGGAACCTTTACCTTTACCTAGAGGTTAAGTGGTTGGTGACTCGTGGGAGACACTTCGTGACATCCCCTTCCCGGATGCTGGAGGAGTTTCTTCCTGCTCGCCCAGGCTTCTAATGAGCAGGAAAGCTGATGTTTCTCGTTGCCTTTGAGATGTTTCTGTCCATGATCTGTATTGTTCAATGTCCATTCAGTGTCTTGCTGATTATACTGAGTTTTTGCTTCGGTAATGTTCTTGTACTTTTGGCATGTTCTTATGATTTTCTTTGGAAGCCTTCCTCACATTTTCAAAATTAAAACGGCTTTTAATTTAATAAATGCTTTTTAAAATTTTGAACAACATCCAATTGTTAGTCCCAAATGTAATAGACACCTTAGATCTATGTGATTTTAGAAAGTCAGCACTTGGGTAGGTCCCATTGATCCAGTAAAGCTACTTTAGTTGGGACAAACA